ATCGCAGGCCTCCACCTGCCACCGCAGCGGAACCTGTGGCCGGGCTGGGCCTCAGGGCGCTCCCCCTGCAAGGGGGGACCTGGCGTTGGGCTCCGGCGGCGCTGACGGTGCCGCAGCAACGAGTGCAGCTGGAGCAGCGAGCGGGGCTGCCCGCAGCTGGGGCGGGACAGGCTGGGCCTGTATAAATTAGAGCCCACATGAGCCTGGGAGGTACCTAGGGAGCAGTGGGAGGGAAGGAGGTGGTGGGTGCTGCTGCTGTGGGGTGCTAGGGGTGGCATAGGGCTTTCGGGGATGCTATGGGGACATGGGCTGGGTAAAGGGACAGCTGGGAACAGGCCTCTTTTTGCATTGCCTGGCTGTGGCTGAATTGGCACCTGAGGTCTGAGACACCCTAGAGCAGCAGCTCCCAACGCCTGGGAGAGGTGCCCAGGGCTCGCGTTGGGCTCCTGAGGAAAGCGGAGGCGGCCGGGCAGCCCCGCGGGGAGGCCGTGGCCTGGCCCGAGCCCCGGAGCCCCCGCGGGGGCAGTGACACGTGGTGGCTCTCGAGTGCTACCTCCCTGCAGCGGAGGAGGCCGGGGGGCAGCCCCAGCTGTAGGCGGCTTGTGGGGAAGCGGGAGAGAAGGCGGGTGGTGCCGGGCTCTCCTGCTGGAAGCGCACACCCCTCTCTGGAAGCCTGAGCGGTTTTCCTGCCCTTTCAGTAACGGGTGTCTCCTCTGGGGGTGTTTTACCCTGCCCTTGCACTGGGAAGGCTGGGGCAGGGTGAGGAGGCAGCCTGATCTCAGGACCTGCTCCTGTAGCTGGCCCCGGGGTGCGATGCCTGGATGTGGATGCAGCCCTTGGTGGCCGGGACTGGCTCGGGTCTCGTGTCCACCCGGGACAGCTGCTCCCTCGCCCTGATGAGCCCCAGCGAACGGGCGATCCTGGACACGGTGCCTGTAAAACCCTTGGCCTGGGCTACCAGTGTTGTGCGCACTTGCTGGGTGGCTCCTCACGGTTGGCCCGGGAGGCATTCCCGGGGCACCAGCGCCTTCCCTGCTTGTCTCTCCTGCTCTTTCTGTGCCCGAGCTGTGGCAGTTTCCATCCCTAAGCCTAGGGGAGCTGCTGGCTCTGCCCCTTCCCCAAGGCCTGTCCCTGAGCCCAGCTACCCCGGGCTGAGCGCGGCTCCCCACCTGGTCGGGCAGCCCTCGGCCCTGGTGATCTTGTCCGCCGTGAGGCCGTCCGTCATGGTGATGCTCCTGCGCTTTATGTGCCCCCCTTTCTGCGTGGTGGGGCTGTGGGCGCCGCCGTGCTTCCCGGTGCTGAGTCCATAGCTGGCTTCCAGGTAGCGCAGCGGGAAGGTGCGGTTGATGGGGCAGTAGACGATGGCCCCGCTCTGCTCGGAGACGGCCCGGCGGTTGCCCACGTAGAAGCGGACGAGGGCGGGCACATTGTCGAAGCTCTCCTGCTCGAAGAGGTACTGGATGCGCGTGCGGCTGTCGCTGGACTTCACCGTCACCTTGTTGATCTTGAAGTGCAGGGGCTCGTTGCGCCAGCGGCACGTCAGCACGTAGTCGCCCAGGCTGGTGAGCGAGTCGCGGATGAGGAAGTCACCGTTTCGCTGCACCAGGCTCTCCGACACCTGGTGGGACAAGACACCAGTGCAGAGGTGACTCGTGGGGCTGTGTGGGGACCAGGTAGGGGGCAAGGTGGGCGTCCCACCACAGAAAATGTAACTTGGAGCAGCCACTCGTCCCTGTATGAGGGGCCAGAGGCCTTCAGGGTTGTTGCCTGTGTGACCTGCTCTTTTGGTGGCCCATGACAAACGCACCAAAGTGGTGCCCAGGCCAGGTTGATGGTGCCTGTGCCAGGCCCCTCCAGGAAGGCGCCCTGGCCTTGGGGCGCTCTCCTGGGGAGCCCGAAGCGCCCTGCGCGGCCGCCCTCACCTCGCGGGGGATGCGGCCGTGGTACCACGCGTGGCTGCGCAGGTCGCTGCTGCTCAGCTTCAGCTCCTCCTCCAGCTCCTTGTGCAGCTTCTCCGGGGATGAGTCGAGGATGTATTTCTCCTTGGAGAACTACAGAGCAGGGAGAGAGCGTCAGGTGGGGTCCTCGCTCTCCCGGGGGGATATCGCAGTCCCTGTGGGACCCCGTCGCCGCCGCAGGAAGGTGGCAAGAGGCAGCGCCAGGCCAGCCTGGCCGGGGTGGCCACGAGGCTCTCGGGAAGGAGCCATGCGCCGGCGCTCCCCCTTGCCGGTGCCACACATGTCGCCTGTGTCTCCACATGACGCTCCCCATGGCCGCGCTGGCAGCCCTG